GCTCCTGAGGTTTTTCATCTGGATTGGTCTGAATAAAACAGATTTTTCTTGCAACTGAAAACCCTTTATTTGCAAAAGGTTATGATAACCAAAAGAAGCCAGGCTCCCCCAGTATTTGTTTGGGAGGGTGGGATGGGGAGTGGAACTGGCTTCCTGCAGTCGTGTTCACATTAGAGGAGGTTCATAGGACATTTATTTAAAAACAAATAAAAAAAAAAATAAAAGCTATCATGTTTGTGCCGTAGCAGAGCATGCCAGGATGCCGTTGCTAAGATGATGCCTGCTGATTCTGGCATAAAGAGTGATTTGAGCAGACCCTGCCCTAAGGAGCTGAGTCCCAATCCTTTCTCTCCTGTATAGGAACAAATCAATTATTCTAAGGAGGCAGTGTTGTCTCTCGCTGCCGTTGTGTTGCTTTTTGAAAACGTTTTGTAAGTTAGTCCTTAAGTGGGATAATTGCTTTCAGCATTTGCAAGTTAAATGAAGAAAGCTCTAATTAGATTTTATAAAGTGGCTTAGCATGTTGAGAAGGCTTTTCATAAAGTATACTGTGTATTCACTTGGCGTTGCACAATTGAATTTCGTGTAGCACTGACGAAACCTAAAAATCCTATTTGGCCCTGGGTGCTTAAAGGATTGAAAGCCTGTCTTAAGTACTCCTGGCTATACAGACTCCCTTCCTCTCCTCACCATCCCACCCTCAGCAGGGCGTTTATCTCTGTTTTAGAGAGCGGAGGAGCTGCATCAAGACCAACCTGTTTGAGGAAGAGCATCAGAGCGGGGCATAAAGCTTGGGATTTTGTGGCGCTTCCAAAGGGGGCCGTGGCACTTGCTGTTTAATCTGTCTTAGCTGTTATTGTTCTGTGCTGATTGTATGGTGGGGCTGGGTGGCACAGAGCCACTTTGTTCAGGTTAGCCCTGGCTCTGTGCGGGCACTTATTGAGTTCCACAGAGACCCAGCAGGGCCTGTGCTCAGTAGTTTTTGGTATTGTTTGGTGTCCTGTAGGTTAGAAATGTGATATGCTAATGCTTTCCTGCTGCCATCACAGCCTTGGCCAAGGCAGCCTAACACATTGCTTGCCGTCTGAATAAGAAACTTAGCCTAGTCACAAGCCCCTTTCACGTGTGGTTTCTGCTCTGTGCTTGTGCCAGGAGCTTCCTGATGAGAATTGGAAGGAGTCCCCCCAGCCGGTGTTTGTTCAGGTCCTTTGGGTGCTGTTGCTGAATGTGACTTTACTGAAGTCTGGGAAGTAACATCTCTGCTACCTCAGTCAGTCAGGTCACAAAGCTTTGCCTGCAAAAGTGTGGGTTCCACATGTGAACAACTTTGAAAACAGTTTGAAGAAACCAGATCTAAAGAAAAGTGCTTAATCATAGAATCATTGATGGTTTTGGGTTGGAAGGGACCTTTAAAGATGATCTTGTTCCAACACCTTCTGTTAGACCAGGTTGCGTCCAGGGATGAGGAGTCCTGCACTGGTGTGTTATGAGTTCAGATAACCACAGAAGCAGGTAAATGGCAGCTGGTCAAAACTCTGATTTGCCTTCTGCTCTGCTTGAGAAGACCTGGGTGTGTTTAATGTTCTCTTGCGGTTACAGGTATGCAGGTACAAATGTCTGTGATAAGGCCTGAATTTGAAGAAGGGGTGTAGAGATCTCAAGATCCACTCATCTTGGGACATTTACTCGTGGGTTGTCACCAGCCACCATCCTGGCAAGGGGGACAAAAGGTGGTTCTCCTGCTCTCTCACTACTTGATCTCTTCAGCTGCAGGTTAGAGTCAGTCATCTCTGTCATGGTCCACTCTCCTCATTTGTTGCTTTTAAAGGGTCAAGTTATTTATCTGAACGCTCTTGGAATCAACAAACTTTCCCATTTGGATTTGGTGGGACACTTTGTCCGTGACGAGTTGTGGCAGTGTGTGCTCTTTGTCCAAACAGGTTGTTCTTGTAACCACATGGAGCTCCGTGCCTTTGGATGAACATTCCCAACCACCCACAGGCACTTGGTTCACTCAACCACATGTGCCCTGAAGTGTTTTTAGTCATTTGCAGCGTCTCTGTAAATGGACTCTGTGTACCCCTTTGAAGTATGATCGTACTACAAGGACTTCCACGGTCGAGTAGCTCTCAAGTGAACACAGATTTGGCCTTTCCCCTCTTCTGCCTCAAATGTCAAACCAACATGTACCGCTGTTGATGGACTTATTTACTCGTTTTTGTAATCCTGTAGGCTGAGTAGGAATCTTTTGACAGGTTCCATGTGATCTTGGGAGTGATGTGCAGGCAGAACTTCAGTTTTCTTTGAGTACAGGTTTTGAATTGGATGAAGTTTTCTTTATTACAAGAGGTAGTTCACGCTCTTTCACCTCATTAGAGGTGATGAAGTTTGATGAAATGATCAATCTTAAAACCTTAACAGGTCTTTAAAAAGGCAGCTGTGAGATGTGGCCTGGGTATAATTCAAGAAAGTAGATATTTATCCTTGATTCTTTTCTCATTTTAGAGTAGGCTTAGGAAATTCTTGTGTTTGTATACTTGGTGTAGCAACTGTGTTGTTGTTGCCAATGGCTTGAAATGAGTATTGTCTGTGTGAAGTGTCTCAGCCTCATGTCTGTACTCGGACAAATTTCATTATGATGCTGCTTTTCTTGGCAAGGCGGGTCTGAAATGGCTAAATTGGAGATTTCTTCTTGAAAGGGCCAAAGAACATTTTTTGAGCAAGTTTGGGAGAATTTACTTTAGTCCATGTAGAGGTGAGGGAGCGGGGGGGAATGATACTTAAATCATCAGCTTCAGTTAAAAAACCTGCAATGAGCTGACAGAGGGTCAGAAAGCACAGGAGGGTCCTCACATTTCACCTACAGGGCAGCTGTGCCAAGGCAAATAAATATGTGCTGGCTGGCAGAGGACTGGTGCCATATCTTTCAGTGTCCCAGCTGCAGGGTGACCTGTTTGTGAGTCAGGGGCAGCCTTGGTGAATACACAGATTGGTGCTTCTCGTGCAGAGAAACTCCCCCATGTGTTTGGAACAGGGTCCTCTGGAAGATACTATTTTGTATTTTCTAAGAACACAGTAAATTATGTTGTCATCTTCCCTGTGACCAAAGGCAATGAGTGAGCTTTTGCTGCATTTCAGGGTTTTATGGTAATATTTCAGTGTTATCAGTACTTTTTGGTGTTTTTTTTTCTTTTTTTTTCAGAAAAGAAAATTATCTTAATTACCGTGAAGTAACTAATCCTCGAAGCTGTAATCATTGCTGACATAATGCTTCATATTTACAAAACACGAACAATTCAGTTCACCTCTTCACTTTGTCTTTTGAGCTATTGTAAACAGTTTCCTGGAACCATTGTTTAATTGAGAAATTGAATTCTCTATCATGAATAGTAAAGGCTTTTGACTGCAGGGATGTAATGCTTCCTTTCATGTTTTGTCCAATTTCGTGATGCACATTCCCATCAACATACTTTATATTTCAGTAGAGTTTTTGGAGTGAAATGGTGCAATTATGAAGATAATTTTTTTTCATAAGTCAGTACTTGGGAGCACGTGGAGCAAATACTGTGCTGATTATTTGGTGTGACTTTAAGTCTCCTAATAAATGGTGGATTGCTACATCTTTGCCTACTTGTACCATCTTTATTTTTCTGTAGTTTTTAATAGATTATTTTTTAAAGGACCATAGAACAGTTTGGGTTTGAAGGGACCTTAAAGATGATCCAGTTCCATCCCCTTTGCCGTGGCCAACCTTCCACTATCCCAGGTTGCTCCAAGCCCTGTCCAACCTGGCCTTGGACACTTCCAGGCATGGGGAATCCACATCATCTCTGGGCAACCTGTGCTAGGGCCTCACCACCCTCACAGCCAAGAATTTCTCCCCAATATCCAATTTAACCTTGCCTTCTGTCAGTTTGAAGCTGTTCCCCCTTGTCCTGTCATTCCACTCCTTGTCCATACTCCCTCTCCAGCTCTCTTAGAGCCACATCTTACCTTTCTTTGTCACTTCAAATATTCCCTGTTGGTTTCCAGACCCTCCGGTCAGCCAGCCTTGTTCTGACATCCCCATTTGTGAAGTGCCAAACTTATACAAACTAAGCTTAAGTAAACTATGGAACTTATCTGTACTCATGATGCCATGTTTTTCTTTTGTCTGATATCTTACAAGTAAGGCTTTGCACATCTTGATTTCTACTATCTTGGAGTACCAGAATGTCACTTCTCATGCTTAAAGATGAGTGTATGAAGGCCCTTAAAATTAGATTTGGGAGCAGAAAGATCACTGCCCAGTACTGTGAATCATCATGATAATGCCACTGAATAAATCACTCCCTGATTTAACTTCAGCACTCCTGGGTGGATCAGCCCATAATAATTTGTCAGGGGCACTCTCTGAGTTTCTCTTGAAGACTCAGGGCAGCTTTGCTTCACCGTGGGAAACTTTCTTTTGGTTGGAGGCTGGAAGGGCCATATCTATTTGTGAAGGACAGGGAGTGCTTTTGTTACCTTCCCAGACCCATTATGGGATGTGATTGCTTGTGGGAGTGTCTGCTTATGATCTGTTAGAAAACAGCCTATTAATAAAACAGAGGCTCTTGTAATAGAGCACTTCTTAATCTTCTTCCTGTGTGGTTATTTATAGGCTGTGACATCTTAATTTGCCTCTCATGTGCATCAACTTCTGTTAATTTAAAAGATCAAGTAGCTTTCACGGGCTTCTGAGAATCACTTCTGGAGGAAACTTTTCTATGGAATCTGACAAAAAAGGTCCAAGTCATAAGTTTGTTGTGACAAGTGCATTAAGGTTTTTGCTGGTGTCTTTCTAAATGACAAGTAATGGGATGTCTTCTTATAGTTACTTATGCATTAATCCTGTCTTTGATTACAAGCAGATTTTCCTGAGTTCTGGTTGCTGATAATACTTATTTGCCCTTAGTGACCTGCCTGGAGCAGTATTAAATCCATGATTGTCTTATTTCTGTGGTCTTGTTCTCCCTTAGAGTGGTCCCAGTGCCAGATCTTGTCACAAGATGTGCATTGACATCCAGCGAAGGCAGATCTACACGCTGGGCCGTTATCTGGATTCCTCTGTGAGGAACAGCAAGTCCCTGAAAAGTGACTTCTATCGCTACGACATTGACACCAACACTTGGATGTTACTGAGTGAGGACACTGCCGCTGATGGAGGCCCCAAGCTGGTGTTTGATCATCAGGTCAGCCACACTCACACACTCCTCCTGCAAGGTCTCGGTGCTGGAGAGTCAGTTTTGATCTGTGGTTTAGAATTGCTGTACCAGGTACCAGAGAAAGGGAGAGGAGGGTGTGATCTCAGCTCAGTTCTAACAGCACTGCAGTTTTAATGCTGCTATTCTCATCAAACTGAGTCAGAAGTATCATAAAAACCTTTGCAAACAAATCCATTTTATTAAGACACGTTTTATTAAAGCTCAAAGCGTGGTTCATCTGGTTTTAATCAGCCTCCTTGAGCTGGATTTGCAGATCTGCCTTCTCGAGGGCGTTGGGGAGCAACTTGGAAAGCTGTGCATGGGTACCTTTGCAGTAATACTCCAAGCAGGCTGCTGGAATGAGGCCAGCACAAGAGCAGGATTCCTTCAAATTTGGTTGTTCCTTCAAATTAAGTTACGTGCTTGCTTTGTCACGACTGGAACACCTTAGAGGAGGGGCTGCTAATCCCTTAAAAAGCTGCACCTGTCCACGTGTTCAGGCTGATGGCAACTCCTTATGTTGTACATTGACTGGCTTTTGTCTACTTGAAAAAGGTACTTTGTTCTCAATTGATTTTATTATAAAGCATTGCCAAGAAACAGCACATCGGGACTCATTTTTAAGGCAGCCCAAGATGTGTTTTATTGGTGCTGGCTGTTTTGTAACCAAAGCTGTTGTTTGCCAGCACAATGTGCCTTTCTGCTGACACCGAAAATTAAAGATACGCCATGTCTGCAGAACAAAAGCCAATCAGTCTTTCTGTTCTATTAATAACGAGTACCAGTCTCCAGGTGTTGGGGAATGAGGCACAAGGAAATTGTCAGCTGGCAAGGCCGCTCTGGGTACCTCGTTTGCCTCCTGAAATGGTTCCTTTTTTCCCCTTTGCCGTCTCCTGTGTCCTCACTAAATTCTTTGTCAATCTGCAGCTCTTCCTCTCCTCTCCCTCAGCACCTACTGCGATAGCAGTTTTTATTTAACCTTCAAAAATGTGCTGCACTAGAGGTGTTTTGTGTAGGCTTTGCTGAGCAGCATCTCTATCTTACTGTAATCTTGTCTGTTTGTTGGTTTGCTTCCCACCCCTTCCCCCCCCCCCCCCTTTGGTGTTTTATAACTCTCTCTGTCTGAAAAACATCACCTGGAGCCCGGGAGTTTGGTTTGATTTGTGCTGCAGTGCTTTTCTTTTGTGCCATAAAGTCAAGTCAGGCTTGGGGGTTAAACATATTTCTGCTGCAGTCCCATCAGGGATCCTTGGCTGGGTTTATGCCCCTTTGTGTTCAGGTAATGGGGGGGTAACAGTAAAAGTGTGCTGGGGGTGGAATCAGAGTAACAAATCACAGGCTGATTTTTGCATCGACCGAGTGGTGGGCAGTGAATTAGCAGGGATTTTGAATTTTTTTCCTGGCACAGCCATTGCCAAAGGTGATATTCTGTTAACTCTCCAGCTGTGGATCCTTGTGAAAGACTCTAAAATATTTTCCCCTGAAATTGGCAGCTAGGGGTAAATTTTCATAGGTGATGAAGGGTACACTTATTTTTTTCTTTTATTAAACAACACATAGAAATTACTCACATTCTGAATTCATTTTATGAGATTAATACCTGACAACCATGCAGATGTGTGTTCTTCCCTGTTGGTTGGAGGCTCAGGAGATGTGCAGAGCACTAACTTAGGTATGACTTGCAGGAGAGGGATGTTTAATCTTGAATCTCAAAAGTGTTTAAGTTCCAACGTGCTGGCTTAAAACTGCTTCTCTGGTCCTTGCAGATGTGTATGGATTCTGAAAAACACATGATCTACACCTTTGGAGGCCGAATCCTGACCTGCAATGGCAGTGTGGATGACAGCAGAGCCAGTGAGCCACAGTTCAGCGGGTTGTTTGCCTTCGACTGCCAGTGTCAGACGTGGAAACTTCTGCGAGAGGATTCCTGCAATGCTGGACCCGAGGATATCCAGTCCCGGATAGGACACTGTATGTTGTTCCACTCTGTAAGTATCCACGCCCCTGCTTTGATTGATGATGCCTGACTTTTAAGGAGAACATCTGGTTTTGGTTTTCCTTGCAAATTTGAAGCTCTTTAATCTCCTGAGGGGTGCGTTGTCTCAGTTCCGTGTTCGTGGACATTCTGGTGCTGCTTTGGTAAGTGCAGGAGGTACTAATTCAAGTCTTGGAGCTCTCATGAGTTCAGCTCAGTAATGTTTCAAGTAAAAAACAAGGTGAGTTTTAACGAGTTGATTTTAGTGGAACAGTAGTAAATAGACCTGAAGGCTCTGGTTCAGTTTGACCTAAAGAATCGTTCTTTTTAAGCTGGTAGAGCAATTTAGAAGCTTCTGGTCTAATAGATACTCCTACTGGAATGGGACTTTGGTGTGCATTGAGTTGCAGAGGCCTCACAGCCCATGGTGCTGAGCACTCAGCTGCAGTTTGTTGTCCTGAGCAGCTGTTGACAGCTGGGCACAGATGGAATAACGGGCACTTCATCCAGAGCCTGATGGAAAAGCAGAGGAGTTGATGGAGTGGGGTGTGTATAGCATTTTATTTAGTATTAGGCATTAAACCCCACCTTCCATTACCTTTCCAGCTGTGTTCATCAACCACATGTTTATTTGAGAGATGGGAATTAAAGAGGAGAATTCAAGAGAAGAGAATTAAAATTAATGTTGTGACATTCAAGTATTTACTGATACCACCAATTCAAAACCCACCAATTTGAAGAAATTACTGAGTTTGTTTCTCTTTCCCTTTCCAATGAAAGATCAGAATTTTTAGAGTGAATACTGGGCCTTCAGAGCCTTCAATTTTATTTTGGTTTTGAATAGCTCTTTAAAATCTGGTGAAAAACATATTGCCACACAAAATTCTGCACAGGCACCTGAGGATCTTTCCAGTGTGTGTCTGTGAGAAATGTAAGAATACTGGTTTCTGTCAGCACAGGTCATGGAAGTTTAAGTCCTTTTCTGTTTTCTCAATCATTTGAAAGAATAATAATCTGCCTCTTACAGACTTTCCACTTGGCAAACCTGAAAGAAGTAATAAACCTGTTATTCTTGGCTTTCTGCTTGCCATTTGCCTGTTCTGAGCTCAGTAATGTGCTGGTACCTGGAGGGTTTCTCCTACAGTCTGTCTCTTGTTCCTGTCCTGTTTTTAACAGTGAAGTTACGATCTGATGGGTTTTAGACACAGGAACTGTTAATTCTTTAATATTAAACGTGAAAGATGAATTGGTGTTTTAATGTTCTGGAGTTCAAGCTGGATGAGGCAGGGCTATAGCAGTTACAGTGATTTTAAACTTAGAAGAAACATCTCTGTTCTTCTTTGATGCATTAATTGCTGCCCCATCCCTGGAAGTGTCCAAAGCCAGGTTGGACGGGGCTTGGAGCAACCTGGTGTAGTGGAAGGTGTCCCTGCCCATGGCAGGGGGTTGGAAATGTGTGATGTTTAAAGTCCCTTCCAAGCCAAACCATTCTGTGATTTTTTTGATAAGTGTTAATGGTCACTACATAATTTCTCGAGCTTTATTTTATAAAGACTTCTTTTTCTCCCCTCACTCCAGAAAAATCGCTGCTTGTACGTGTTTGGTGGCCAGAGATCAAAGACTTACTTGAATGACTTCTTCAGTTACGATGTGGACAGTGACCACGTGGACATTATATCCGATGGCACCAAGAAAGATTCAGGGATGGGTAAGAGGAGATCTTCATAATCACATCTTTCCATTGGTACAAATGAGAAATAAGCTGTGAAGGGTGAAATATTGTAAAAGGAGAAATATATAGGTGAGAGGCCAGGTCCAGTGTCCTGTGGGATCGGGTTGGCATCCTTAACTAGCCCTCTATACCCAAGTACACTCCACAGTATTTAGGTTAAACTTAGGCCAGCTCTTCTGTCCTTTCTGTCATTTGACACTCACCACCTTCAGCACAATACAAATAACTGATGCATGAAAGCACATAGCAGCTCAAAAGAAAAAAAAAAAAAAAAGGAGCAAAATAAGAATTAAAAATACCTCTTTTGAAATTCTTAACAAAGACCCCCCAAAAAAATTTTTTTTTTCTTTTAAATCCAGAGAGGAGAAAACAAAATTTTATTTTTCTGGTTTTCATTAAGTGAAAGATACCGTAAAATAGAGATAATCTGCTTGGTTTGAGATGCAGAAAGGCAGAGAGGATGCTCAGAGACAGAGAATTGGAGGGACAGAAGTTCTGGTGGCTGACAGGAGCTGACCAGAAAGATGAAACCAACCTGTTGTCCTGTTATATTTTTAACAAATATCAGGAAGTGCCAAAAAAAGGTAGGAGGAGGGAGCAAAGCTTCAGCTCTGGTTCATACCACTGGAGCTGTATTCCCCAGGCAGAGTTCTGTATGACAGACATCTTTTAGAAACACCCAAAAGGCCTGTAACATAACCATAAAGAACTGATTTTTATACCTTTTCTGCTCAAATGACAGGGAAAAATGTCCTTTTTTTTTTCCTCAAAATGATTTCTGCTTGTATAAACACATCATTTTCCTGTTACAAATACCCTGTTTTTTGTCATACAACTCAGAACTTGAAATTGGAGTCGCACTGTGTACTACTGTGGGAATATTTCTCAATATTATTTATACTCAGTCCTGATCTTGTTTTCTCTTCTCCCAGTTACCAAAATCCCAGGAAGCTAATTTATCTTGAATTTAGGCTGCCCTCCTTCTTCTGATCGGGCTTCATTTCTAGCAAGTGATTTTGCTGAACGTTTGAAGTGAATTATTGATGGTTACAAGTTATTGTTTGCTCGTTAATTTAGTTATGCCAACAAGGGAGAAAAGTACCCAAGCTCTTATTCTCCAGAGTCATTTATTTACTTGAGTGCTTCCAAGAAAGAACCAGCTTGGATTGTTGACAGTCTCCTTTATTCAGGTGCCTGCGTGTTGCCTGATGCTGCTCCACACACACCCACGCACCGTTTGTTATCCTCGGAGCTTTTAAAGAATTGATTTTTTTTTTTTTTTTCCCCCTCCAGGAAATTGCCAGCATTCTGCCATTTCGATCTTTTCAAACTACATTTCTTCATAGCCAGAAGCCTTAAAAGATGTGGCTTTAAGCTGACACCTGTGTCTGCTTCAGATTTAAAGACACTGAGCTTGTCTTAACAGCTGGAGAAGACACTGAGCTCTGCTTTTCAGAGTATATGAACTGCAAGGCTCAGCTGAGTAAAAAGAGATTATAATTTTTTAGCCCTCCTCCCCATTCCCACAGGCCCTGAAGTGGTGAATAGAAGATTATTTTTGTTTTTTTTCTTTTTTTTGGTAAGAAAATGACTCATTGGACATAATTCACGAGTCGATTTCTCCGTTTACTGTTCTCCTGTGTGCAAGGGAGTAAACAAACAGATCTGAACGTTTCCACTGCTTTTTGAAAGGGAGTGCTGGGATAATTTGCATTTTAACGGGAAGGGAACAAAATGCTCGTTACGTTCAGACAGCAAATGTTGACAGCGCTGTTTTCACCCGGAAAAAAAGCAAGTCTTTATTGTGCCCTTGTTAGGTACTGATACACCATTTTGATCTGTCTGAACAAAGTGATTCCCTGCCTGGTCGCTGTGAAGTTTTAAGCTGCTCGGTGTGATGAGTCAAGTTGAGGATGCCTGACCTAAATGTTCCTATAAAGTCCCATGGTTACATTTTGTTCCTGGCTCACATGTGGCATTCAGTTCTATTCTTAGTTGGGCTATTTTGATTTTTACCCTTTCTGAAAGAACTTAATTGTTCATTTGTTTGAGTATCTCTTGGAGTAGTGAGAAGATTTTATTAGAAGTAGTAAAATGTATAATTGAGGATTATCAGTAACACGGAGTTGTTGCAAAAAACAGTGTTGCTGTAAAACAGTGTTAATGACGTGTTGGTTTTGCTGCTCTCATTTTCTGGGTGAGATATTTATGCTGTTTAGTGATTCTTTGCTTTTGTTTTTGCTTGTGATGTTTTTCTTGTAACCAGTTCTGTGTACGGCTGACAGGTTTGAAAATAGTGGGTGATAAGTAGCAGTTAAATTTTCTTAACTTGGAGTAAAGGACATAATTTTAGCAAACTTAGATGTGGAACTGTGATGATGTGTTGCATGTGAAGGAAGGCAGTAGTGGTGGAAACTGGAGGAAGTTTAGTACTGCTGAGTAGAGCCTGTGGTTGGAGGAAAGGCAGAAACATTTGTGTTGATCACACACTTCTAGAGCAGTTTTATACTTCTAATCACTTTAAAAAGCACATAATCAACACACAACCAACCAAAAAAAATCCCCACCAAGCCCCAAAAAGATACTCCAGAGTGTACCTCTGAAGTACAGAGGGGGTCTGGAGATTCCACCAGCCTCAGGTGTCTCCCAAGGGCTGAAATGACAATTTCTAACTCGCTTAGAGCGCAATCCATGACTAACCATGGACAGTCATTCCATGTCTCAGGGAGCTAATGGGAACACTGTGGTCAAAGTTCTTGTGACAGTCCCCTCTGGCCCTGACTCAGTTGGTGTGTCAGAAGAGCTCTTGGTCAGAGGGAGAATGTCCTTCTGCACAGGAACGCACATCATGTTTTATCCCTTGGCACAGAGTAACTTCCAAAGTCAAATGTGAACAAACCTTAAACCTCTTGTGGCTCCTTGTACTGGTGGAGTGGTTCTTTGAGCAATTTACGAGTAGTTTTTTAGCTCACAGTGAAGATCCTGAGTGTTTTGCTGGGCAGGTGCTTGTTCCAGATACAGAACCGTGTACCTGATGGATTGGGAATTTCATGGTTAAGTACCACGGACAGAGGCGCCACAGCTCAGCCCAGAAAACTGTGGTTTAAAACGAGGCAAAGTCAGAAAAACTTGAATCCAAACAGCACAGCAGCAGGGCCAGGATCCAGCTCAGCCAAACAGCTGGAATGTTCTGTTTCGATCACCTGTTCGTGACACCTGACGTGTTTTTTGCCTGCGCTCAAGGAAGATCTACCTTGCCATGGCCAGCACGTCCCTTGCCATGGAAGGACTTTGTTTTGCGAGGGCCTGCGCCTGCTTTCATCTTGTGAGGTGCTTCTCAGTCCCAAAATCCTTTCCTCTGCCTGTGAAGGTGAGGAGCAGAGCGGACAGTCCTCAAATCCCAAGGATGCCCTGCAGAGATACCACGGCTCAGGATTCCATTCAGAATTACTGACTGACCTGGTTTTTCCAAAAGCTCGGAGAGAACTGAGCATTGGACGTTGGATTGTTGCTTTGGCAACATGACAGCCAAACTGTTCGGATGGTCTCCTTAGCTGCTCCTTGGCAGGCTGCCAGGTGCAGTCTCATCAGGAAAAATCCAAGAGGATAATCATTATCTTGCTGTGTCAACAGCTGGCCTGTGTGCTGTCACTCAGCATTAGAGTTCAGGGGAGGTGCTGCTTCCATTTTATGGGAATTACAGGGAGTAACTTGCAGACCTACCAGTTTTTTTTAAAAATTAATCTATTGGGAAGTGCCAGGTTCTGGTGAGCAGCAATATCCATGTGATGGATCTTTCTCCCAATTTTGTAATCACGAGGCATCACAAGGAGGGAGATGCTTGCGAGTCATTTGCAGTGGGATTGGCATCACATGTTCTGAGGGTTTCATAACTCAGGTGGCACTAAAAGACTGTCAGTGAACTCACTTTCTCTAATTACCCTTCATGAATCCTTCAGACATGGTCTGTAGACTATAAATTTGTATAATTTTTTTGCTGTTGCTGCGCTCCAAAGTGTGTTTAAAAACTTGCCATAGTTTCCACTCCAATGTGAGAGATGAGCTTTCCTTTCCAAAATTTTTGTCTGGTGCCACGAGAACATCGGTGAAACCATTAATTCCACTTTTGGTTGCTCCGAGAAGCTGTGGCTGCCTCATCCCTGGAAGTGTTCAAGGCCAGGTTGGACGGGACCTGGGATAGTGGAAGGTGTCGCTGCCCACGGCAAGGGGTGGGAAGTGGATGGTCTTTAAGGTCCCTTCCAGCCCATACTGTCCTGGGATTCCCTGAACTCCGATTTCCTGCTTTGCAAGCTCTGTCTCTGTGTCAAAGCTATTTTCTTGCTTCAATACTGGCAGCAGCCAATGCTGTGCTAGAAACAACCACGGCTGTTTGCACACAAGAGCCAAAAAATATTCAGCTTTCTGAAATGATCGCTGTGATCCCATAAATGCCTGTGTGTAGGGACTGTGGTGGTGGGAACGTGGCTCTTGCACGATGAGGTGTCTCTTTCGGAGAAAAGCTTTTCCCATGTGTTGTATCTAAATGGAAATTACGTTGCACAGAGCTCCACAGCATCTCATGGAAGCTTGCTCAGGAATTATTGCTTGTTTATGTAACTGGCTGCGAACTCAAGGCCTGTGTGGCTGAATATTGTTCTCAGATATTGAGGCCGTGAGCTTTTGATTTTTTACTGCATAAAAATAAATTAAAATACCACGAGGATTCAGGCTTCTGGTTTTCGGTTAGTTACTGCCCTTCTACCCTGGGCTGGTTAATAAGATTAAAGGGGGGGGGAAAAAATAGAGTGTCAGAGGAAAAACATTTACCACCTACTAGACTTTTTGGGGTTGTGTTGTATTTAGTGACTTCTCTCTCCAGCTTTTCCTGTTCCTTCAGTGATCTGTTGTCACAGGAGCCAAGTTAAAGTCATGTAAACGCAGGCCAGTGTTCAAAACAGGCCTCAGTCCTCGGTCACTGCCACATCCCTCGAGCTGCCTGCCCACAGTCAACCCCAGAAGTGCCCTGAAAAGTGTGGAATTAGTGGAGCTTTGCTCCAAATCTCATCTCACGTCTCTGTGAAGAAGCAGAAGTGAGGGACTTCCATGGAGCCATTCCTACCAGTTTATTCACCCCTTGGATCTAACACATTGCGAACAGCAGATCATGCAGGGCTCTGGTTCTCACCCCTCGTTGCTCAGGATTCTTTTTTCCCCCAAGTCCTAAAATGAACCAAAATGCCCTGTAAACAACCAGTTACTGCCACTGTTGCAGGTTCATTTTTATAGGTTCAATTTTGTTGGCTCAATTAAATTCCCTTCCCCGACGTACATTTTGTTACCTAAACATCCCAAATATTTTTCTGACGTTTCCAGCCCCTGTCCCTCTCTTAATACTCCAACTGCAGTCGTTTGAATGATATCCAGCATTTCCTGCCAGCCTGCTGCACTTGCAGATGATGAACCTCTCTTACCCTCTAGTGGAAGTGTTTCAGCCCTGAGGATTTTATGGAGCCCTCTTGCTCTTGTCAAGGATCAGACTTCCTTGGAAAACATCTTTTTCTGTTGGGCTTAAAACATCACAGCATCACTGTGTAGTATCTTGTCTTATTTTTCTATTTATTTTCAGGGACTTGTTTACCAAATTTGTGTTGGCTTGTGGGGTTTTTAATCCTGTGACATGGAACCTTCTGGTTTTGTCTTCCTCTGCAAAAGACTTGATGTCAACT